CTCTCACACACAACAACTACAGCTTTAGGATAAAAACATCTACGCAACTGTGCAAACACAATGCTAGCGCGCTGAGCCGTTTCATAACTTCAGTTTAATCTCAGATGTCTGTGACGTTAAACCAGATGTGCTGTTAGTCAAGCAGCTGCTATAAACATGTCAATAGTTTAACCTAGCAAGACTGGGTAAAAAAAACGCACCACAGAAGACAGTTTGCGCTAACATGCGCTATAGCGCTCCTTGTGGTTGTGGATTGCAGCCGTTTCAGAACGCAACACGCTGGTGCTTGTGCACTTGCGTAAAGTGTGTTTCAGACCTAAAGCCTTTCTTTCCTCTTCCTATATTTCTCCAGCATCTCAGCAAATGTTCTTCCAGTAAGATTAATGGGAATGTTAGCAGAACATATTTGTGTTAGCTGGTATGATCTGGGCTCCTGTAAACTGATATTTACTGTAATAACCGATGGTTTGGATGGATGTCGCCGCTGGTGCTATTGTATCTGTTACACTGCTGCGGGAGGAACCGTTTGTATTATTACTGCTTGTGGTCCAGTGCGGTCGTTGTTGTTGACTTGTTTATTTGTCTTGGGGTGAGTTACACTGAACCCAGACTCGAACCCTCACACCTGATCTCAGGTCAGAGGTCAAGACCTGTAAGCACTGATCGGTCATCAACAATCAGCTGGAGAACGCAGCATACCCCGCATTTACTGTAATATTAGCTGGTCCAAACTATTTTTGCAATTGAATAAACATTTTTTTTCTCTGTACATTTGAATGCATAGTCCGTAAGCACGAAACCTTATAGAACAGGCTTTAAACATTTCAAAGCATTTTAATGTGTATAAAAACAAGACTGAGACTATATCACACAAATCAAAAGACTGAGCAGAGTTGAAAACTATCAATTAAAACCATTTTAATTGATGGTTTCTTAGTAACTATACACAAAGCCATTTACGCGATTGATCGCTCGAGATCGGTTTTCTTTGCTTCTGACTTGACTGTACGTAACCTGCACCTTAACATTATTGCTTTTGAAGAAGAATTAAAATAATTATTGATATAGTTTGCCGTCGTGTCTCGCAGTAACTCACGCCATTCCCGTCAGAGACCGATAGCAGGGTTGCCAGGTTTCCACAACAAAACCCACCCGATTGCTACTCTAAACTAGCTCAAAACTAGCCCAATCGCGTTCTGGGGGTAAAATACACATTCCCCTGGTAAACATCACGTTACTGGGGTCTACGGCTAGTGTTACAGTAGCTCAATTCCGCGGGAAAACCGTGGACCTGGCAACACTGACCGTTAGTCTCTGTGCAGCGCCGAGAGACAGACTTTTCACATTTTCAGAGAATCGACCGTTTTCTTAGGACTTGTGTGAATGAATTCATCTCAGTGTGAAACTGGACACTCCAACGGCAAAAAATCAACAGCAAAACTCGTATCAACATGAATGCCGTAAGAGAGATGTTTATATTTCAGATTCCGAGCAGATACATCCGTTGGGTCTGTGTATCACCCGATCATTCAGTTCAATCTGGCAACCCAAAAACAGTGAAAACCTGCCGATATTTAGTTTTTCTGAACGAACCAAAAATCAAAAGTTGGCGTTCCGTGGACGAATACACTCGAGAAACGTTAAGACCGTTTTGTTCAGTGCTGTCAACTAACTTTTAGGGGAAGTTGCTAAAGGAAGCTCGTCATTGCACGATGACATTATTACGTAATTATGACGCAAAATTCAGTCACTTATCAAAAGTTGCCAAATACATTTTTAAAATAGCTAAATTCGTTGGCAGGTGCTTTTGGAAGAAAAAGTTGCTAAGGTGGTGTGAAAGGCAAGGTACTCCCTGTGCTCCTGTTTGGTATCAGTTTGACTTGTGCTTATTTGTATTAAAAATGCTCTAAACAGATGTTAAAATTAATAAAAATTAGTTGGTGGGGGAGGCACCACTGTGTATGGCAAGCTGTTTTAGCTTAAAATATTCCCAGCGTTACTCGTCGTAATTGCATTTTTACTAGTTACAATTAAAGAGCTCTACAAATCGACTTTTATTAATCATGTCTCCATTGACTTCCATTCATTTTTAATTACAGAGCTCTACTCAGAATTCTAACTAGTAACAATTCCAATTACAGAGCTCTATAGTTCAAAGATATGATTAATTGCAGAGCTCTGTAATTGAATTAAAGAGCTCTCTAATTCAGTTCTTACTAGTAAAAACTGATTTAAAAAGCTCTCTAATGGAATTGTAACTAGTAAAAATGCAATTACGACAAGTAACGCTGGGAATATTTTAAGCTAAAACGGCTTGCCATACACAGTGTACAAGTCGTCTTTAAAAACCCCTGATTTATACTGTGCACTATTTAAATGTTTCAAATTAATATTGATTTTATTATTTCACAATTATATATATATTTTTAAATAATTTTAATTTCGTCTGAGGAGCTCCACGCGAAAAGGCGCAGAAGCCTCACTCTGATACAGTTTTGGAAGCGAAAAATAGACAAATATAGGACCGGAATTATTGATTTGGTGAGATTAAAAATACTTTTGTTTCTTTTAAAACTTTAGTATCAGGACGAAATCCCGCTCTGGTCCATCCCTGCACTACAGGCCGGAGTACAGTAACACCCAAACATTGCACTTTTAGCCAGTGACATCTAGAAAAACACAATCATAATTAATGTTATTGCACATACAAGTAATAAACGAGCCATCTTTGCATTTCTCAAGTGTATTCCTTCACGGAACGGCAAGTTTCAATTTTTGGTTCATACAGAAAATCGGAAAAATTAAATATTGACCGGTTTTTACCGTTTTCCGTTTGCCGGATGAATGATCGGATGAAACACGGACCCAGTTTACATCACTGATTATTAAAACTGACCTGTCAACGATCAGGTGAGGAAAAAACATTATAGTAATATTACTGCATTACAAATTATTAAACATTACAGTTCACAATGGCTTCAGATATAAAAAACTAAATCGGTTCTATTCATTTCAAGTCAGTTACTGAATCTCACATGAACTATAAATATTACAGTAAAATACTCGAGCGTGTTGAGTGTGTCAGTGTTCAGGGAATGTGAGTCTGGAAAACTCTCATTACAGTAACATGAATTATTAGAATAAACTGTGCTTAATTTCGATTATAATAAAGTCACATTGTAAAAAAAACTTTCTTTAAACAAAACACTTTTTTTCTTTTGGTTTTGGGGTAAACTAGTACTCTGACGGGCTTTATAAGATTTATATGGAAGCTCGTTTCCACCACAGAATCAAATAAAAAGGTGACATTTTAGCTAGGGTATTGTGAGCTATAAACTTGTTTACTCGCAATCGTGAGATATAAACTCGCCATTCTGAAAAGAAAAGTCAGAATGAATAAAAAGTTGCAATTACCTTTTCTATTTATATATAAGATATAAACTAAAAATTGCAGGAAAAGTCTAAATTCTGAGTTTAATATCTCGCAATTCTTTTTTTTCCCCTTTCGCGGTAAACTAAATCCAAATTGTGAGATATAAACTCAGAACTGTGGAAAAAAGTCTGAATTGTGAGATTTGTTTTTTTAATCCTGTGGCAGAAACAAGCTTCCATAGATTCAGTCCTTCTGTATTGCATTAATACAGAAGTGCACATTTAGCACACAAAACCCAGTGTAAAGAGGTGGCACTGTGTGGATCAGCTGACTGCAGACGGCAGTGCCGGTGTCCTGCGGCGGATCTCCTGCTGGAGCTGCTCCTTCAGTGTGGACACCTGCTCCTCCAGACCCCGGACGCGCTGCCGGTGCGCTCTCTCTCGGGCCGCCAGCGCTCGCTCCGTCTCTCTCTGACTGACGCGCAGTCTCTCAGCCTCCCGATGGGCCGCCTGCTCGCTCGCGCTGGGACTCTGCTCCAGTTCCGCCAGCTGAGCCTGAGACAAAAACACGCCACACACACACACCGCTGGTCCGTAACCAATCAAGTAACAGAGACAACCCACTGTCACCATAGCAACAGCAGAAGCCATAGCAACCCCAACACCACGGCGAGTATGTTGCTGATGCTGCTGCTCTACTGCACTACGAAGCGCTTTAAACACAAACACAGTCTGTTCTTAAGGCCCGCTCACACCACGGATAACTATAGCGACAACTGTGAAGTTATAATAATTGCTCTAATTGAGAACAGTTAAGTCCACTCTGCAACGGTAAAGATAACGACACAGAGGAACGATATCATCAGAATCGCTTCCAGAACGCCATAGCAACAGCAGAAGCCATAGCAACCCCAACACCACGGCGAGTATGTTGCTGATGCTGCTGCTCTACTGCACTACGAAGCGCTTTAAACACAAACACAGCCTGTTCTTAAGGCCCGCTCACACCACGGATAACTATAGCGACAACTGTGAAGTTATAATAATTGCTCTAATTGAGAACAGTTAAGTCCACTCTGCAACGGTAAAGATAACGACACAGAGGAACGATATCATCAGAATCGCTTCCAGAACAATATTTCGTTATCACCTGTTAATATAGTTATTGTTGTAACTATCGTCCATTGGTGTAGACGGTAATATAGATACCATTATAGTTACCGTTATAGTTTTTTTTCATTGGTGAGGACACCAACATAGTTATTGTTATAGTTATCTTTATAGTTCTTCTACTTGGCATAGACGCTAGTATAGAAATAGCTATCGTTCATTGGTGTGGGCGCTAATATAGTTATCGTTCTTGGTGTGAACAGGCCTTTACTCACCAGACACAACGCAATCTTCTGTTTGACGCCGCACAACTCTTCCTTACAGCGATGAAAAACAATCGCACACACATTATAGGATGACACTGTTAATGCAGCTCATGATTAGCGTGAGCATGTGAGCGAGCTGATAACGCCGTACCTGCAGCAGCACGATCTGTCTCTGCGCGTCCTGCAGCTCCTGTTCGACGGTGTTGAGCGAGCGATCCAGACGGCCTTTCTCCGCGCACAGACGCATGCTGCTCTCCTCCGTCTTCAGCTTCTGACGCTCCACCTGACGAGGCAAAACAGACCGTGAACTCGCTGGATTCAATCCTGCATTTAAACACGGCGTGCAGACAGACAGCTGGCCTGTCTCACCTTATCCAGTGTGTTTCTCAGCGCGGCCTTGTCCTTCTCCAGCCGGACGGCCTGTCTCTCTGTATCCCTCTTCTCGGTCTCCAGTAGGGCCACGGCTCTCTGTAGGCTGCGCAGACGCTCCTCTGCAGACGCTCTGTCTGTCTGCGCAGACTGTAGACTGCACTGGGCTTCGGTCAGACTGTCGGACTTCAGTCGCAGAGCCTGCGTGAGAACGGAGAAAGACTGAATCTTTAAAAGAACAGATCTAGAACAACGTGAATCAAGTAAAGAAGAATGTTGCATTCACACTGTCGATGCTATTGAATGTGAAGTCAGATCTCTTTATCAGGTCTATATCATCAGAATCGCTTCCAGAACGATATTTCGTTATCACCTGTTAATATAGTTATTGTTGTAACTATCGTCCATTGGTGTAGACGGTAATATAGATACCATTATAGTTACCGTTATAGTTTTTTTTCATTGGTGAGGACACCAACATAGTTATTGTTATAGTTATCTTTATAGTTCTTCTACTTGGCATAGACGCTAGTATAGAAATAGCTATCGTTCATTGGTGTGGGCGCTAATATAGTTATCGTTCTTGGTGTGAACAGGCCTTTACTCACCAGACACAACGCAATCTTCTGTTTGACGCCGCACAACTCTTCCTTACAGCGATGAAAAACAATCGCACACACATTATAGGATGACACTGTTAATGCAGCTCATGATTAGCGTGAGCATGTGAGCGAGCTGATAACGCCGTACCTGCAGCAGCACGATCTGTCTCTGCGCGTCCTGCAGCTCCTGTTCGACGGTGTTGAGCGAGCGATCCAGACGGCCTTTCTCCGCGCACAGACGCATGCTGCTCTCCTCCGTCTTCAGCTTCTGACGCTCCACCTGACGAGGCAAAACAGACCGTGAACTCGCTGGATTCAATCCTGCATTTAAACACGGCGTGCAGACAGACAGCTGGCCTGTCTCACCTTATCCAGTGTGTTTCTCAGCGCGGCCTTGTCCTTCTCCAGCCGGACGGCCTGTCTCTCTGTATCCCTCTTCTCGGTCTCCAGTAGGGCCACGGCTCTCTGTAGGCTGCGCAGACGCTCCTCTGCAGACGCTCTGTCTGTCTGCGCAGACTGTAGACTGCACTGGGCTTCGGACAGACTGTCGGACTTCAGTCGCAGAGCCTGCGTGAGAACGGAGAAAGACTGAATCTTTAAAAGAACAGATCTAGAACAACGTGAATCAAGTAAAGAAGAATGTTGCGTTCACACTGTCGATGCTATTGAATGTGAAGTCAGATCTCTTTATTTATCAGGTCTCAGACCTCTTTTCATTCACACTGTTGTTTTCAACGCAATCTCATGAGAAAACCCTTGAATAAACCAATAAAATACATGAAGCTGGTCTCAATGCATATTTAATATGATCTCAGTTCAGTTGCATTTTAAGGATGTTCACATTGAACGTATATTATTCCTTGCACTGCATTGTAAACGCACAAGAGTGGACGAATTTGACGCACATTTTTTAAAGTATAAAATTCAAGTTAAAATGTGTCCAATATTTGTAATTTTTTTCCCACTGCGGCTCTGCAGCTCGCATTTTTAAATGCAAAAACCGTTCTGTGTGAACCGGCTTTAAGTCTGTTTGCCGCATTCACATTCGATGCTAAATGGCGAACTGAAATGACGCTCACCTCCTGTGTGTTGTGCAGCTCTGTCTCCAGCTCAGATCTGCGCAGCTGACTCTGGGTCAGCTCTGACTGCAGTGTCTGCACACGCTCCGTGAGCACTGCGATATTACGCTTCCCCTCCGTCACGGACGCTCTGAGTCCATCCACACGCTCCTGAACCACACAGCAGAGGAACAACATCAACTGGTATCTGAATATTAATAGTTAAATAATAGTTATTATGATTAAAGTTATCGTAATATTTGTAGTTATAGCTATAGTTACAGTTAATGTAATAGTTATTGTAACAGTTACAGCTATCTATATAGTTATCATAATAGTTATATTAGAGTTATGGTAATAGTTATAGTTATGCTATGGTAAAGCCCGTCGACCTCGCCCCTCACCTGCAGCTGTCTGCGCTCGGTCTCGGTCTGTCCCAGTGTTTTCTGCAGCGCGGCGAGACGCCCCTGGGTGGCGCTGTGGGTGGCGCTGGCTTCCTGCAGGCTCTGGGAGAGAGCAAGCGCTCGCTCTTTCTGAACGCTCTCTCCATCCTGAGCTTTAGACAGCAGCGCCGTCAGTCGCTCCACTTCACGCTGAAGAGACGCGAGGCGAGCTTCACCCTCTGCCATCTGAAACACATACAAACGTGTGACCAATCATTGCGGGCGAGGAATCCGGTTCTGTGGCAGGGTAGCTTGTGCTCAGGACCTGTTTGCTGGCGCTGTCGTGCCGGTCGTGAGTCGTCTGGATCTCCATCTCTCTCTCGGTCAGACTCAGTCTTAGTCTCTGCAGCTCTCCCTCCAGACTCCGCCTCCCCAGCTCCACCCGTGTGCCCCGCCCCTCAGCCGCCTCCAGAGCCTCACGCAGCCGCCGACGCTCCGCCTCCAGACGCGCCTCGCCGGCACGCAGCTTACTGCACTGCTCCTGCAGGGGGCGATGACTACATTACCACTACTCTAGACGACATTAGTGTAGATGAAATAAGACGCACCTCCACACGCTTGCGCTCGGTCTCGGTGTTCAGCGAAAGTCTCTCCAGCTCTTTGATTCGCTCGATTAGCGCTCGGCGGTCTCGTTCTGCTCTCCGCAAGGACTCTTCCTGCTGCTGCAGCAGACCTTGAGTCGCCGACAGCTTCTCATCCACCGCACGCTTATCTACACAAACACACCATCAACACCAGCCGAACCTCCCTTTGAGGGCGCTCTCGAATTATAAAGCAAAAAAAAAAAAAAAAAAGTTTAAAAGTTGTATTTTAAATTAATTAGCTTATATAAACACAGTGGAAGTTACCCTCTTGGCACTCCTGTAGTGTGCTGTGTAGCTGAATGAGGCGCTGGTGGGCGGAGTCTCTCTCTCCCGCCACTTCCTCCAGCTCCCTCTGCAGTGACCCCAGCTGACCCCGCGCCTCATCCTGCACACATATAATATAGTTACCATTATAGTTATAATATCAGTTATGATTATTGTTGTAATAGTTATGGTTACCATAATAGCTATAGTCTTTGTTATAGTGATTATAACAGTTTTAGTTATTGTAATAATAGTTATAGTTATCATAATAGTTATAATTATAGTTAATGTTGTCGGAACAGTAATCGATATAGCCGTCATAATCATTATGGCTGTAGTTATGGCTCTTGAAGTGAACAGTCGTGAGTGTAGCGCGTTACTCGTTCTCTCTGAGCCTCGCGCAGCTCCTGCAGGAAGTCTCGGAGGCCGCTGCGCAGGGTTTCCGGGTCCAGCTCCTTCAGGGCGACGGGCAGCGGGGCGTCTGTCCTCTCGGGAGACAACGGCCGCAACACCATTGTGTTATCAGGAGTCACGTTACCTGCCACGTCTGAGACAGCAGAGAAATCATGCAGAACTTCCGCTCCGGACCAAAAGCAGCTCTTTATTCCACAGATTTCACTTCAAACTTCTTTAAAAACTGAATCTGACCTTTGGGTGGCGATAGCGAGCAGTGCAGCGGAGACACGCTCCGATGGCGAGACATCATCCCGGAGGTCAGAGAGGAAGGGGAGGAGCCTGCCGGGCTCCGCCCCCTGCTGCTGCTCCGCCCACTGGCCCCGATGCCCAGCGTGCGCGTGAGCGCCGACTGCAGACTGCACAGCCTGAACTCCAGATCCCTGCGTGCCGCCTCCGCTCGCGACAGCTCCACCTCCGTCGCAGCCAGACGGCCCTGCGCCTCGCTCAGCTGCAGCTGCGTCTGCGCAGACGCCTCGCAGGCCGAATGAGCGCGCACCGAGAGGTTACGCGCCTCGTCCTGAAGCTTCTTCTCACAGCCGCGAGCCTCCTGCAGCTGACACGCCAACTCTCGCTCGCGACTGCGCCAACACGACTCGCTCTCGCCCAGACGCCGCTGTAGAGAAGACAGCTAGAAAGAGACAGCTGCCGTTAATATTTTTAGATTCTTAAAGAATACAAATTCATAGATGCAGCTGCAACTAGCTTGGAATTTCATTATTAGATGACATTCATTTAGGTGGTGACATTAACATAAATCGACCCATATTGAATGTGATTTACGGAGATCTCACCTCTTTCTGAAGAGAGTTTCTGGTAGTTTCTGTGTCGGCGAGTCTCTGTTTGAGCGAGATCAGTTCTCTGGCTCGCTCCTCGTCTTTGTGCTCCTCCAGTGACAGACGCGTCTGCATCTCGGCCAGCTGCTTGCTCTTCTGCTCGCGCTCCACGTCCAGAAGCTTCACCTGAGGGCACAGAGTCACACATCAGACGCCAGCTCTGGCTCTCAGCACTCAGCGTTCACAGCGCTTCGGTCTGACCTGTCTGCGCAGCTCCTGCAGCTCCCTGCGCGCCTCCAGTCTGGACCTCTCCACCTCGCGCAGACAGCTGCGCAGATCAGACACCTCCTTCTGCGCAGACGCCAGACTCTCCTCCAGCAGAGACACTCTCTGCTCCTTCTCCTCACACACTCGCTTCACGCTGAACACAGACAGACACAGCACAGTGAAGTCCCTCCAATCAGCAGAAAGAAAATCATCTGCATGACAGTTTGCATACTTGTTGTTCTCAGTTTTATTACAGATAAAAACCCTTCAACAATGTAGTATTCATTCATTTTCATTCATAAGTGAATTGTATAGAAGCTTGTTTCCGCTATGGGATAAATTTTTTTTGAGAACATTTCTTCACAATTTATATCTCTGGTTTCTTAAAGTTGTGAATTTATATCTCACAATTCTAAGTTTACATCAAGCAATTCTGACTCTTATCCCGTGGTGGAAACATGCTTCCATAGATTGGCACACAGAGTTTGTTAAAGCGTCCGTCACCTGATTCTCTCGCTCTCTGACGCTCTCAGCGTTTCCCTCAGCTGCACGTTTGATTGGCTGAGTGTGTCCCTCTCCTTCGTGACATCACTGAGGGAGTGCCGTAGCTCCGCCCCCTCTCGCCTGTGCCCCTCCCCCGCGTCCCGTATCTGGCACAAGCGTTTCTCCATCTCCAGCAGCTCTCGTCTGGCACCGTCACGGCTCTCCTCGCTAGACGACAGCAGCGCGCGACACTCCTCCAACTGCAGTAGAAGAAACAATTACACATCTTACTGTTGTGTTCTGCTCGTCAGGCATGATAAAGTTTCCTTCACAAACCTCTCTGAGCGCCGTATCTGCTTGCGTCTGCTGCTCGGCGCAGTTCTCCTGCAGCCTGCGCAGCTCACGCCTGTGTGCACTGGCTGCGTCCTGCAGCTGACTGCGCAGTTCCTGCAGTTCTGCGTTTAGAGCCGCAACGGCATTCTACAGACAAATTCAAACCTCTGTTTATAACACACCCATGATTATTAAAACTATTAGGGAGTCACTGACACAATATCTGTTTCCATCCACAAATTTGTATAAAATTTTTGGGATTCTGCATAAAAAAAATGCTAAGATGCATGTACAATTTTTAATATGTGCATAAATGTATGCACTCAATTGAGGCGGGTAATTTCCTTAACTGAATAAATGCACAACAATATGTAACAAGTATTTGCATCCACCTCCGAACGCAAGATAACATGACAGAGTATTGTGTTTCGTAAAGGCACAAGTAATTTAACATGTAGGAAAAAAGAGCTGCAATGGATTCCCCAGGTTAAACAACTTCCATTTTTATATTTGATACTTTGCGCCAGATTCCAAGGAAGTGACGATTTTGTTCTCTTAAACACAAGGGATGAAAATGGTGCTTTATCCGCAATTTTCATGAGATGTTTAAATTTTTCGTGTAAATGAAATTGGCAGCTCTTGATGGAAACAGCTAGTGTTGAATCATGCAGTAGTGTAGTTTTCTGACCCGCTCCTGGTCTCTGAGGAGCACCGTCTCTCGGCTCAGTCTCTCCAGCTCCAGCGCTGCAGTGCTCAGCTCCGCCTGTAGGGAGCTCACCTTCTCCCACAGAACCGTCTTCTCCGCCTCCTTCACAGACAGCGCCTGGACACGCCATCAGAAGGTTACGACAGAAATGACACGGACACACCTGAGCTTCCAGTGCGAGCCTCACCTGCTGTTTGTCCGTCTCGGCCTGTAGCAGACTCTGGTCCCTGTCGCGCTGCAGGGAACGCAGCTCTTCCTGAAGCTCATCTCGCTCTCTCTCCTGCCGGATCATCTGCTCCTCCAGGTGTTCACGGACACGCCGCAGCGCCACCTCCTGCTCCGCCTCCAGACTGCAGCGCAGCGCCTCCTACAGGATTCACATGATATCACGTGATGTATATGCCTGAAACACGTGTCACATGTAACGAATAGAGCGCTCGTATGACCTTCTGATTGGTCAGTCTCTCCAGCTCCTCCTGGTGGTCGGACAGGGCTGTATGCAGAGCTCGCTGCGCTTCCTGTTGAGCGGCCATGAGGGTGTCTCTCAGCACGTCTTTCTCTTTCTCGCTCTGAGACAGAACCGTCTCTCTTTCAGTGCGCAAACGCTTCAGCTCCGCTAAACACAGACAAACTAAACGTCAAAATAGGGCTCATTTAAAATAAAACCCGTCTCTCTCTCTCATGTATCTGTCTCACTCGCTCATTCACACACCCGTCTCATTCACGCACCCGTCTCACTCGCTCATTCACGCACCCGTCTCACTCGCTCATTCACGCACCCGTCTCACTTCAGCGTGTCTCTCTCCTGTCTCAGTCGGTCTCGATCTCTCACAGCGGTCTCTCTCTCTCTCTGAGCCTCGTCTCTCTCGCCCTGCAGCGTCTGCACACGGAGCTCCGCCTCCCGTCGGCCTGACTCCGCCTCCCCCTGCTGCCTGCGCAGCTGCTGCACTGAAGACTGCGCAGACTGCAGACGCTCTCGCAGCTCCTGCTCACAAACACACACTGTGATAGACAGCGGATCACAGAGCGTATACTGTCTGTGTGTGTGTGTGTGTGTGTGTGTACCTGTAGTTGGATCTGTCTGCTGGTCAGAGCGGCGCGCAGTGCAGACAGACAGCTGTCAGGGATGATGGCTGATGATGATGATGATGATGATGAAGAGGAGCGCAGCAGCGGCAGCAAAGACTCTTCAGTGTTTCCGTCCACACCGCCACTGTCTGAGAACACCAGCTACGCACACACACACACACACATTAATACATACATCAGTGAAGTAGTGACTGGCATGTGTGTGTGTGAGAGAGAGAGAAAACAACGGCTCTGTGTAGTAAATGCTGCTCAATGTGAAAGCCCGCAGGTGATGGAGATTTACCGCTGATTACAGAACCGGCTTTACTGATAAGATGCGCATTAAATATCGCATGCGATTTATCGTGCAGCCCTACTTCAGAGTACTAGTTAATTTAGTAAACATGTATATATTTAGACCTTATCCAGCCTAGTTATGCAGGGCTTCCTTCAGACAACTAGTTAATTTAGTAAACATGTAGTTGTGCGCAGTAACGGACCGTTTGTTGAGCTCGGCTCTCTCCGAGTCGCTCTTGGCCTGCAGCGTCATCATCTCCGTCACCGTCTCTCTGAGCTGCTGCTCCAGCTGCAGCCGCTGGGCCGTCTCTCTCTCCAGCAGCAGTGTTGAACCGTCCTCACGGCTGCGCAGATCTGCGCAGACGCGCACGCACTGCAGCTGCATGCTCTGCGCCGCGCTCGCCAGCTCGTTACGCACCTCGCACAGGTCCCTGACGGACAGACAGACACGGCGTCAGTGTTTACCGCGCCTCAGCTGTAGAGTAGTGTGCACGGGTGCAGTGACACGGTCTGACCTCTCGGTGGCGCTCTTCAGCTCGCACACGTGTCTGCGGAAGCCCACCACCTGCCTCCAGAGCGCCAGCACACGGCTGTGCTCGCTGCTGAAGTAACTGTGGAAAGACTGAACAAACGCACCGCGTCAAACTATGCCACTTTTTTCATTTGAGTTTCAGTGATGCGGATGGCCACACCCACCTCCTCCTCTCTCCTCCAATCAGACTCCCTCTGCTCCAGCTCCTCCCTGGCTTTGGTCCAATCAGCAGTGAGTCTGCGGATGTCCTGGCTGAGCGCCTCATTGGCCAGTCCGGCCTGTTCCAGCTGCTCCCGCAGCATGGCGTTGACGGCGGACAGGCCGCTGCTCCTGCGCACACACAAACACGCTTAGCACACGCTCACATAAGCGTTAGTGTTCGTCCAGTGAGTGGCGCACCTCTGCTGTTCCTCCTCCAGCCGGATGAGGGCGCTCTCCAGCTCACTGCTCGGCTCATCCTCGTCCCGCCGGTGACCGTTACTGCTGCCGTCACACTGACCCTACAGCGGCACAGAGCTGGCCAGATTACTTACCGAACTGTAGTTCGTTATTGATTACATGACAAAAACTGCACGTAGTAACAATCCATTACATTACTCATTTTTAGCTAATATAATCTGACTACTTTTTGATTACTTTGGACCTAACTGGTTTATCACATTTATTTAAATAGGATAATCTTGTACCACTGATGTAAAAATACAAAGAGAAAGAAACTATATGGCATTCATATTGACAACATGCATTAAACGTTACATTGCGTCAAGGTTTCCCAAACTGGGGATAAAAGATGAAAAAGATTAGAATCAATAAATTGCGAGTAACTTATTGCTAATGTGTGAATAATATGTAATCATATAAATGAAGTCTAATTACGACTATTTTAAAATGTATTATAATTGGATTACTGGTATTTAATTTTTGTAATCCGTTACTAGCCAGCACACAGAATGAGAAGCTAGAGCTACAGTGAGACAGCAAGTGTGGTGAGTATCTGCGGTTCTCACAGTCGATTTCTCCAGCAGCGTCTGTTCGAGATCTGCACACTTCTTCTTGTACTGGAGAACCTGCACTCACACAAACACAAACCAGCTCTGTCAGAGAGAACCCAGGCGCAGTCAGTGCTTCAGATCCACTGTGCTGTACCTTGGCCTGTAGTTTCTGCACCAGCTGCGCTTGTCTCTGCTGCCCCTCCTGATACGCCGTGAGTTTGCGTTTATACGCCGCCTGCTCCTCGTCCAGACGTCTGCGCAGGTCTACGTTCTGCTGCGCCAGACTGCGAGACTCTGGGGAGTCCCGTCCCTCCTCGCCCGTCTCCAGACGCAGCGCCTGCTCCAACTACAAACACCACACGATTACAGCGGAGTACTACTGCAGAGCTGATGAAAGAAAGTCTTTCACCTACTGGGTTTCCAATACTGTACATTCAGACATTGAAATTATACAGTCTAATTTAGATTAAAATATAGGCTAATAAAGCAACTGACCATATTCTTCATTGGGTTGCATGTTAACCACTTTCGTTCCCATATAACTATAAACCATGATAAACGTTCATCAGCATGCATTGATTAATCACATGTTGTAGCGCAAAAAAAAGAAATCATGTGCTGGTGTGACCAACTGAGAAAGTTAGTCGCAAAAGAGCGACCAGTGGGAAGAATGAGTCTGGAGCCCTGATATATGCAGTAATATAATATACACAAATATATATGGCGATAATACCGCCGAATATATTGAGCCACTCAAAATTACCACAAGGGAGATTAATTCACCGCGACAGCCCTACTTTCTGTTTTCAAACATTTAAACTATGGATGTTCATTTCAGGTTATTTTTCCTAAACGACGCTCGTTAACCGATTGTCAACCTTTAACCGACAAGATTATTTTACTGCTGCCGTCACACTGACCCTACAGCGGCACAGAGCTGGCCAGATTACTTACCGAACTGTAGTTCGTTATTGATTACATGACAAAAACTGCACGTAGTAACAATCCATTACATTACTCATTTTTAGCTAATATAATCTGACTACTTTTTGATTACTTTGGACCTAACTGGTTTATCACATTTATTTAAATAGGATAATCTTGTACCACTGATGTAAAAATACAAAGAGAAAGAAACTATATGGCATTCATATTGACAACATGCATTAAACGTTACATTGCGTCAAGGTTTCCCAAACTGGGGATAAAAGATGAAAAAGATTAGAATCAATAAATTGCGAGTAACTTATTGCTAATGTGTGAATAATATGTAATCATATAAATGAAGTCTAATTACGACTATTTTAAAATGTATTATAATTGGATTACTGGTATTTAATTTTTGTAATCCGTTACTAGCCAGCACACAGAATGAGAAGCTAGAGCTACAGTGAGACAGCAAGTGTGGTGAGTATCTGCGGTTCTCACAGTCGATTTCTCCAGCAGCGTCTGTTCGAGATCTGCACACTTCTTCTTGTACTGGAGAACCTGCACTCACACAAACACAAACCAGCTCTGTCAGAGAGAACCCAGGCGCAGTCAGTGCTTCAGATCCACTGTGCTGTACCTTGGCCTGTAGTTTCTGCACCAGCTGCGCTTGTCTCTGCTGCCCCTCCTGATACGCCGTGAGTTTGCGTTTATACGCCGCCTGCTCCTCGTCCAGACGTCTGCGCAGGTCTACGTTCTGCTGCGCCAGACTGCGAGACTCTGGGGAGTCCCGTCCCTCCTCGCCCGTCTCCAGACGCAGCGCCTGCTCCAACTACAAACACCACACGATTACAGCGGAGTACTACTGCAGAGCTGATGAAAGAAAGTCTTTCACCTACTGGGTTTCCAATACTGTACATTCAGACATTGAAATTATACAGTCTAATTTAGATTAAAATATAGGCTAATAAAGCAACTGACCATATTCTTCATTGGGTTGCATGTTAACCACTTTCGTTCCCATATAACTATAAACCATGATAAACGTTCATCAGCATGCATTGATTAATCACATGTTGTAGCGCAAAAAAAAGAAATCATGTGCTGGTGTGACCAACTGAGAAAGTTAGTCGCAAAAGAGCGACCAGTGGGAAGAATGAGTCTGGAGCCCTGATATATGCAGTAATATAATATACACAAATATATATATATATGGCGATAATACCGCCGAATATATTGAGCCACTCAAAATTACCACAAGGGAGATTAATTCACCGCGACAGCCCTACTTTCTGTTTTCAAACATTTAAACTATGGATGTTCATTTCAGGTTATTTTTCCTAAACGACGCTCGTTAACCGATTGTCAACCTTTAACCGACAAGATTATTTTAAATTAGAATTGAATTAAATTAGAAAGGATAAATGTCTGTGACCTGTTAAAAAATACTAACATTTGTTTCCCGGGGGTTTCTTGTTCTTTTCTAAATACTGTTAATAGAAAGGGTTTGTTTTCAGTGTTTATTATAACGTTTGTAAACATTAGGCCTATTTCTGAATGAAATAATAAACTGCAACTTGTGTTTTTCCCCCTAAAAAAAAAAAACACATTTTTTATACGCGTAGCGTATTTTAACCATGCAGCAAACATTCTTTTAAAAATATTTTGATAAATGACTGAATAAATAAATAATTAAATGACTTTTTAAACCGTTGAACTAATTGTATTAATCAGTCAAAATTCTTACAGTCGGTTAATCGGTTAAAATTACCATTCCTAATTTGAACTTTTATTTGAATAAAATCGCAGCCTTGTGATCACTCATGAAGGCCCCACTAGCAACCACCTACAACACCCTAGCAACCATAAAACAGCTCCCAGGCGACCTACATCACAGTTAAACACAGACTGATGCTGAAAGACTCTGAATAAATCACAGTCGTCCAGACGGACCCTCACTGTTTACAGTCGTCATGGCAACATGCCACTCCACTACATTCCACTCGCCATTACCACGGAGACGGGTCAATCTCGCCGAGACAAAAGACCGAGCGTGTGTGTGTGCGTGTATGTGGATGTGTGTGAGTGTGTGTTTGTGTGTGCGTGCTGTGTGTGTGAGCGAGTGTGTGTGAGTGTGTGCTGTGTGCGTGAGAGTTTGTGTGTGCTGTGTGTGAGTGTGTGTGTGAGCGAGTGTGTGTGAGTGTGTGCTGTGTGTGTGAGCGAGTGTGTGTGAGTGTGTGCTGTGTGTGTGAGCGAGTGTGTGTGAGTGTGTGCTGTGTGTGTGAGCGAGTGTGTGTGAGTGTGTGCTGTGTGTGTGAGCGAGTGTGTGTGAGTGTGTGCTGTGTGTGTGAGCGAGTGTGTGTGAGTGTGTGCTGTGTGTGTGAGCGAGTGTGTGTGAGTGTGTGCTGTGTGTGTGAGCGAGTGTGTGTGAGTGTGTGCTGTGTGTGTGAGCGAGTGTGTGTGAGTGTGTGCTGTGTGTGTGAGCGAGTGTGTGTGAGTGTGTGCTGTGTGTGTGAGCGAGTGTGTGTGTGTGTGCGTGTGTGTGCGAGTGTGTGTGAGTGTGTGCTGTGTGCGTGAGAGTTTGTGTGTGCTGTGTGTGAGTGTGAGTGTATGTGTGTGCTGTGTGTGTGAGCGAGTGTGAGTGCATGTGTGTGCTGTGTGTGAGTGTGTGTGTGAGCGAGTGTGTGTGTGTGTGCTGTGTGTGTGAGCGAGTGTGTGTGAGTGTGAGTGCATGTGTGTGCTGTGTGTGAGTGTGTGTGAGCGAGTGTGTGTGTGTGTGTGCGTGAGCGTGTATGTGAGAGTTTGTGTGTGCTGTGTGTGTGTGTGTGTCTCACTCTCTCGCTGATGGCGCTGTATTTGATGGCCAGCTCATCTCGTTCTGCTCGGCTGTGAGCCAGAAGATCCTCCACACGACTCAGCTCCGTCTGTAGAACCCGGTTCTCCTCCTGAAGCGACAGACCCGACGACATGCCTCCAGCTAACAGACAGACAGACAGACAGACAGACAGGTGTTGGATGTGTGGAGCTCAGTGATGGTGTGTGAAGGTCTGAGGGGTCTCACCGCTGTCGCTCAGGTTCCTGGAGACGATCTCTCGCACACGAGCCGGTAAACTAGCTGCAGGTTCATCTGGAGAAGATCCTCGAACCGTCAGCCGCTTCTCCTCGGACAGAACGCTCTCCTCCAGCCTCTGACACACACACACACAGAGACGCGCACACACAGAGACGCGCACACACAGAGACGCGCACACACAGAGACGCGCACACACAGAGACGCGCACACACAGAGACGCGCACACACAGTGTGTGTGAGTGTGAGTGTATGTGTGTGCTGTGTGTGTGAGCGAGTGTGTGTGAGTGTGAGTGCATGTGTGTGCTGTGTGTGAGTGTGTGTGAGCGAGTGTGTGTGTGTGTGTGTGTGCGCGTGAGCGTGTATGTGAGAGTTTGTGTGTGCTGTGTGTGTGTGCGTGTGTCTCACTCTCTCGCTGATGGCGCTGTATTTGATGGCCAGCTCATCTCGTTCTGCTCGGCTGTGAGCCAGAAGATCCTCCACACGACTCAGCTCCGTCTGTAGAACCCGGTTCTCCTCCTGAAGCGACAGACCCGACGACATGCCTCCAGCTAACAGACAGACAGACAGACAGACAGACAGGTGTTGGATGTGTGGAGCTCAGTGATGGTGTGTGAAGGTCTGAGGGGTCTCACCGCTGTCGCTCAGGTTCCTGGAGACGATCTCTCGCACACGAGCCGGTAAACTAGCTGCGTGTATGTGTGTGCTGTGTGTGTGAGCGAGTGTGTGTGAGTGTGAGTGCATGTGTGTGCTGTGTGTGAGTGTGTGTGAGCGAGTGTGTGTGTGTGTGTGCGTGAGCGTGTATGTGAGAGTTTGTGTGTGCTGTGTGTGTGTGTGTGTCTCACTCTCTCGCTGATGGCGCTGTATTTGATGGCCAGCTCATCTCGTTCTGCTCGGCTGTGAGCCAGAAGATCCTCCACACGACTCAGCTCCGTCTGTAGAACCCGGTTCTCCTCCTGAAGCGACAGACCCGACGACATGCCTCCAGCTAACAGACAGACAGACAGACAGACAGACAGGTGTTGGATGTGTGGAGCTCAGTGATGGTGTGTGAAGGTCTGAGGGGTCTCACCGCTGTCGCTCAGGTTCCTGGAGACGATCTCTCGCACACGAGCCGGTAAACTAGCTGCAGGTTCATCTGGAGAAGATCCTCGAACCGTCAGCCGCTTCTCCTCGGCCTCGAGCTCCGCAGCCGCGCTCATGACGAGCTGCAGTCCGTTAACATTTAAATCACAGAAACTCCCGCGCGTTTCCTAGCAGAGTCCGCTTCATAAACACATCCCGATAATAATCCGGTTATTCCGAGCCTTCCCGAACACTCCGAGAGAGAGACACGGAGTGTGTGTGTGTGTGTCTGTGAGAGAGAGAGCGAGAGAGAGAGTGAGTGTGTGTGTGAGAGTGAGAGAGAGAGTGTGTGTGTGTGTGTGAGAGAGAGAGAGAGAGGCTTTAATGAGATTGACTGAGATTAAATGTGCTCGAGCGCAGCGCGCAATCAAAAGAGAAACTGAAACAATAAACTCATAAAATACCTGCAATAAACTACCTCACAACACACAGAGCTGAACGATAACGAGCTCTGCAGAAATACCACTAACTGCCCCGTCACCATGACAACTGCCCCGTCAACACAAAATAACCGCCACCAGATCCAGTCAGAGAGTAGGATTATTATCTGAGGAATCGGTTAATAACGTCTTCGGATTAATATTTGACACAACATACAATGATTGGTTGTGTTTTCCGCGTTTCTGAAACTAAACTAAACTCCTCTCCGTTTCACTGCGCGACATAAACCCGTCACAAACACAGCCGCTTTCGCCATCTTCTGAGGAACTTACGGCTGTGTGTCTTTATCTTTAAACACGCGTCGCCTCGAATACACACACTGAAGACGAGCGTCGCATTTATTCATAATTCAGCAAATCACGAAGGATCACCAGATCCAGTCAGAGAGTAGGATTATTATCTGAGGAATCGGTTAATAACGTCTTCGGATTAATATTTGACACAACATACAATGATTGGTTGTGTTTTCCGCGTTTCTGAAACTAAACTAAACTCCTCTCCGTTTCACTGCGCGACATAAACCCGTCACAAACACAGCCGCTTTCGCCATCTTCTCATCCATCTTCTGAGGAACTTACGGCTGTGTGTCTTTATCTTTAAACACGCGTCGCCTCGAATACACACACTGAAGACGAGCGTCGCATTTATTCATAATTCAGCAAATCACGAAGGATCTTACCGGCGCTCCCGCGTCGTGTTCATGAGTGTGTGTGTGTGTGTGTGTGTGTGTGTGTGTGTCGCTCAGCCCGGACTCTTTCCGGGGTCACACTCACTTCCCGCGCTTATAAAAGACCCCAAATCACATTCAAACCCGTCAGCTATTAGCGGACGCCTGAAAGAACAGCGACCACCGTCTGACTCCGTCGGTTCGAATCCATCTATATATTCATTTTCATTAATGTTTAATACACACACATCTTATGTACACTCAGCGGACAAATCAGAGGCTCTGATTCACAACGCAACCATGGCAACCACCGCAGCTCATGTTTATTTACTTATGTTAATGAGCACCTATCTACGGAAGCCCGTTTCCGTTACGGTGCTTTTTTAAAAAAGTAAACAAAGAAGTTTTTGAAAATTGTGATTATACTCAGAATCGTGAGGTAAAAAGTCGCAATTAACGAGCTTTCATATCAAATACTATTATAGTTTGATACAGTTAATTATATTAACTTCAGGCTAACTCTTAAAAGACAGACCCGTGAATGATTCTTACCTGAGGACGGCAACACCTGCAGGCTGGGTCACATTTAGTGCTTTATTAAATTGGATGAATCGGTATTACTGCAAAACAACTGTAAAGCTGACACTGTATTAAAGTAAATGGTTTATTCATATATATATATATATAAACCATCATTTGTACATTCTACAGGTGTTTCATAAAAGGCACTTGAAGGAAAGATTAAGACTTTAATTACTGACAATATCAAGAATAAATCTGTAATCACCTGGAAAAATAAAGCAAATTAAGTCTGGGGTTAGTCCAAAATATATAGTGTGAAAAATCATCTGCTTATAAACGCGTATAAAAGCAGCTCTGCACATCCTGATCGCAGCGGAAGTAGCATCAGACGCACAGATAAACACAGACGTGAGAAGAAACGACAGAAAACCTTACCGACATTCAGGAGCTTTAAAGCTGAAGCGTGTCATTCGTGTGAGTGTTGTAGCCTGACGGCGAGTCGCTGTGAGGAAGTCACTTCAGGAACTTCCTGTAAACACTAACTCTCTATTGTTTGATTCTGTTAACTTCTGCCTCGACCAATGCGGTGAGTTTGGGGCGGGGCCAGCCGTTAGGCCGACCAATGGGGCGAGTGTTCAGGAAACCTGTTCGGACACAGTCATTATCATGACACATTTCAGCTTTAAAGTTAACGATACTGACGACATTTATCGCATGTGTGCGAATAACTAATGAGAAACATGTTTGAAAGTCGACACCAGCTGGAATGCAGCAGATATCAGCCGTGCAGCTGCGCGTGATTGCATAGAAGACAGCCTCCGTGTGTCGTCGGTTCGCTAGAACTGCACCCATCCCGACCGCGAGTCCTGAGCGGACCTGTCGAACACATCAGAGAGTGAGACGCCCGCAGACGGACGGACAGACGAACCGTTTGATTGTCATACTGACCCGGAGCCTGCAGCCGTGAAATCACCCCACAGGTCCTGAGAGGGCGGAGCCACGGCGGGGGCGGGGTCTCCGAACTCCAGTATCATCCCTGAAAGGGGAGGAGCCATGTATTAGCCACACCCACTGAAGGGACTGATAAATGCGCAGATGTGTCGCTCTCACCTGGGCTGGGCGGAGTGGCGGGTGTCGTCTGCTGCGCTGCGGGCGGAGGAACCAGAGCAGAGGATTTGACTCCGGGTGGAGGAGGAAGCAAAGAGCCGCCCATCGGACGAGACTTTGCTGCTGCGCCGCCGGAGTCTTTCTTCTTAATGTTCTGAGAGAGAGACAGAAGTCAACACCTGTGTGTGTGTGTGTGTGTGAGTGTGAGTGAGAGAGTGTGTGTGTGTGTGTGTGTGTGTGTGAGAGGGTGAGAGAGTGTGTGTGTGTGTGTGTGTGTGTGTGAGAGGGTGAGAGAGTGTGTGTGTGTGTGTGTGTGTGTGTGAGAGGGTGAGAGAGTGTGTGTGTGTGTGTGTGTGTGTGTGAGAGGGTGAGAGAGTGTGTGTGTGTGTGTGTGTGTGTGTGAGAGGGTGAGAGAGTGTGTGTGTGTGTGTGTGTGTGTGTGAGAGGGTGAGAGAGTGTGTGTGTGTGTGTGTGTGAGTGAGTGAGTGTGTGTGTGAGAGCGTGTGTGTGTGAGTGAGTGTGAGTGTGTGAGAGCGTGTGTGTGTGTGTGAGTGT